AGCTGGAGATGCACGACTAGAAGATACCCTGAGTGCGGTTACTTGAAACATTTCATATACATACATACATATTATATACATAAATATGCACACACACACACTCATAGAGAAGTATTGTTATTTAACTGAAATGAAGAGTTTGATTTGCCTTGATCTTTTTCTAACAAAAACTATGGGAACTTATCGATTTTTATCGATATTGATAATTCACCATGGCTTATCGATATATATCGTATACATATATGTAAAAAAAATCGAGTATCTAGCCTTTACAGTATAGACGAATAGACGAACAAATAAATGGATGGATAGAGAGAGACAGATAGACGAACGGACAGACATATGGACCAATGAAGAGATAGACGTATGGACAGACAGACAGACGGACGGGCGGACAACCAGACAAACAGGCAGATAGACGGACGGACAGTCAGACCAACAGGCACATAGACGGTCGGACAGTCAGACGGATAGTCAGACGGGCGGACAACCAAACGGGCAAACGAGGGAACAGTCAGACAGATGGACTGGCAATCAAGCGGACTAGCTCATAGACGGACATTTGGACAATCAAGCGAACAGACAGACGAACGAGCTGACAGACGAACAGACAGACAAACGAGCGGACAGCCAGACGGACGGATAGTCAGAAGGACAGATGGACGCATAATCAGACAGACGGACAATGAGACGGGCGGACAGACAAACGTGCAGACAGACGGAGAGTCAGACGGGCGGACAGAGATATGGACGACCGTACAGACAGACGGACGGACTGACAATCAGACGGACTGACAGACAAACGAACATTCGAACAATCAAGCGGACGAACGGATAGATAGACGTGCGGACGGACAGCCAAGCGTACGAATAGACAGTCAGACCGATAGTAAAACGAGCAATCAGACGGACGGACAGTGAGATGGTATGTATGTGTGAGCTATGCAGATAAATTGATCGCATTTTGAAGGCAAAGTAGAGACATTTGTCTTGCCGTGTTAATGGTTAAAAATATGCTGTTAACAGTGCGGATGACATCTTTAGGTGCTGTGCTTGAGCCGGAGCATGTGCATGGATAAAAGTCAATTAGGCTAATTGCCAAAATGCAATGAATGTCGATTTGAATGGGGCCAAGGCACATGGACGAGAGCTGGTCAGAGCTGGGGCTGGGCTGGCACGGCCCCCAATTAGTGGAACGTTAAAAGCAGAAAGCTGAAAGCTTTTCTCGAGACAACTTTTCAACATTCACTCAAATCACAACAAACGAACAAAAACAAGCAACAACAACAACAGCAACAACAGCAACAGAACATTAACTAAGCCCGAAAAGGACACTCGTAAAATTTGCACCTCACTTTGCTAATGTGGCAGCTTAGCAGCAACAAGAGCAACGCTTTGGGGCAAGCCAGGACAGGAGGAGGGCGACAGGGGGCGGAGCTGAGCAGGACTGAGCGAGACGAGACGCTGCAAAGTCACATTTTGTTTGGTTATAAACTAAAACTCATTCGACACACAGTCGCACGGCATTAAAAAGGGTCTAAGGACAGCTAAAGTGCGTGGCTGGGGCGTATGGCTGGGGCGTATGGCAGCTGGGGCACTGGAGCGTAATGATGTGCCAATTAATTAAGTTAATTTTTAAAGTTTCATGCAAAAGAATTGCAAAAGTTTTGCTGTTTGCGCAGCCAAAAGGACAACAGCCAGCACATGCAACAAACACTCCACAATGCATATGTATGTATCCATGTGAGCGTGTGTGCGTATGTGTGCCTGTGTGTGCGTACGTGCCTGTGTGTGTGTGTGTGTGGGCTGCGGCCTGTGGCCTGTGTTTGTTGGCCACTGTGGTTCTGTTCATAAATAGGCCACATTTATGCAGGCAACGGTGCAAAGGATTCAGAATTCAGGATTCGATTAAGCCCAACTGCAGCTGCAATCGATTTGTTTGCTGTGGCTTCATTTTCAGTTGGAGCGCTGGCCCATGGCCGATGGCCGATGGCCGATGGCTGATGGTCAATGGGTGATGGGCTAAGCAATGCATAAATTACGCACTGTAATTCAATTAAAACCAATTTGTGCACACGCACAGCTCCAATAAACCAACAGCAGCAGCCGCAGCAGGAGCAACAGCAGGAGCAGGAGCAGGAGCAGGAGTAGGAGCAGGAGCAGGAGCAGGAGTAGGGGCAGCAGCAGCAGCAGAGATCCCGGATCGACAACTTGTTTGGTTGTCAGCACTTTTTGGCCAACACGTACACACACACACACACACACACATACACACACATATATACACATATGCACAAAAAACATTACGAAAAACAAGCGGCAGTGGTCCGGGCGGGTGTGCCCGACTAGAAGATGCCCCGAACTCAGCCCGTACAGCCGCTATTACATATTCCAAGCATTCTTCGTGCTGAGAACGTGCCCTGGGCTGCTGCACTGTTGAATAACTTTCCGTCAAGATGGACTTTCCTAATCGAATTTCCAGTGCGTGATAATGACATTCATATGTGTGCATTTGCCGGAGCACACGTCTCTGGCATTTGAAACACGTTTTTTGCGCATTTAGGGCAAAGGACGCAAAGTATTCTAAATCAAAATTATACAAATTGTGTGAAGGTCATTGTGAAATCCGAGCAAAGTAAATTGGATGCTGTCAGGTTTTGTGGTATTTGGGTTATGCTGGAAAAAACAATAGGAAATGATCGATATATATCGATAAGCATAGAGTAGTGATGGCAGTGCCAAAGGTATTATAATATTTAAATTCAATTTTATAGCTTTTTTGAACGGATATCACTGTGAGGGTAGACAGACTTACATAGATGAATCGACTCAGGCTGTCGTACTGAACGATATACATAAGTATATAGTGAGATGTGGAGAAAAACCTTCACAGATCAGGAAAATATTAGCAGTGCTGCAAAATTAAACGACTTAAGATATAGGACAAAACAATGCACAATTTGTGTATATTCTTTCAATTTTTAGTTACTGTTAATATTTATAAATTTGCTTATTTTATAGTATAAGATAGTACAAAATTAAAATTGAATAACAAAAAAATTTAAACAAAATTTCTTAATGATAGGATTTTTTAGCTGAGACCTTAATATAATCTATTGTTAGCATATTATAAGATATGTCTTATAGTTTTACCTAGTTGCAGATATATATATGCTATCTATATTCATCTATTTATATTCAACCCGTCTATATCTAACTTTCATCTTGGAAAGTATTGCTGCACATGACACGCGCCTAGGGCATCTATGAGTATGTCATCCAAAAATTTGAAAATCTGCAGCATAAATTTACACGCAATTCACACAGAAACAAAAAATTGTTTTCCGATTGTGAACGTGCTTAATTAAGCACATTGCGGACAGGCGTAGGCGATTGCTTCATGCTCATTAATAGTTGAAGAATCTATAGGATTTACATGAGTTAAACGTAGCATTTTTAGCGAAAGATATTGACTTTAATGAAAATCGAACGACTTGGGCACTCACATTGTCTATTATCATATTTATATAACTACAGTAAAATACGGTTATAATGGCTCCGCTTCGGGTCTCCAGACCTACTTATATAAGCAAACTTATATGGACTTCCAGGTATAGCGACGATCCCTTGAGCGTCGTTATAACTGGATCCTACTGCATTTCAAACCCAGATCTATACGAAACTTATATATTATACATATGTATATTCATTACAAAAATCTACACTATATTCCCTCCCTATATTCTCTTCTGAAGGAGCGTAAAAATGACAACTGATACAACAGCAACAGCACATCATCATCATTATCAGCATCAGCAGCAACATTATCATCATTAACAAGCTCATCATCATTATCAGTGTCATCAGTGGGCAGTGGATGAGCTGCGCTGTCTGCTCCAGGGGCCGCGTTGACAAATTGCCACACAGAGAACACACAAAACTCTCCGACGACAATTGCCTCGCATTGAATATTGCCCGCTGAGTTGCCTTTTACCTGTGGCTAATTATTATATATTATTTGAGCAACTTTATTCCCTCTTCTCCTTCTTTATTATCTTCTTCTTATTTTTTTCTAGCTACCTTCAACATTTAAAGAAGATTCGCATTAATCAGTGTCAAGGCAGAGGCAAGACAAGATAACCAAAAAATATGTCCCATCCAGAGTTCGCAATTGTCCTGAATGAAGTCAAAGGACATTTTTGTGTGCCTCCAAATGCTTAAGCAGGAGTTGAAGTAGCATTCGCAATGGCTATAGGTGTCTTAGACAATAATACCCTAAGAAGCCTTCATCACATCATTAAGCCAAATTTACTGCATAGATTAGAGAAGGTTCTATGTTGGAAAAACTAAAGGGTACTCCAGGGGGGGTTGCCCAATTAAAATGTGCCCTGAATTCATTAGCAATGAGAAAAATCTGTGCATATTATTTTTAAGGGACTTCTATAATACATAAAGTCGTCTGGTAAGCTCTAATAAAGGAAGTTGGTAAAATTCTGAAAGTCAATTCTTCTTAAGACTAACTTTACATACATATATGTATCATCGAATTTCTTAAAATTTAAATCATTATTACTATCTGTCATTAATAATGAAATTTTATAATTTTCTGTATTATTTAATTAAATGAAATCTTAATCATTATGATTAATATTATTATTATAATTT